CATGTGAAGTGAAATAAGTCAGTCACAAAAAGACATACTGCATAAGACCACTATCACAAAAAAATTTTAAATGAAGGCCCAGAGAGGTAGGGCAACACCCAATCATACAAGATTAGCGATGGAACCCAAACCTCCTTTCACTAGGCAAGCCCTCCCCACAGGCTAGGGGGTGCCCCAAAGGTTCAGGAATCCCTTGCTTTGACTAGGCCTGGCTCTCTCTTGACTGGCACTGCATTTGCTTGGTTGCTGGGACAGAGGCAGTCTTTGATGGGTTCCAGAGATAGAAGGGGAGGGAAGGGTGGATCATTGGCTGGAGGGTCAGACCCATGTTAACTTGGGTAAAGGAAAAGAAAGAGAGACAAATTAACCAGGAATGAGAATATTACTCATAACCTATACCATCAGTTACTGTACACTTGACTGAACTGGAACCCCAATTTAGGTCACCCTGCGTCTTCCAGAAAACACAGAAATGAAGAAGAATAAGCAAGAATGTTCCACAAAAGGAGGTCAGGGAAAGGCATTCCAAGCAGAGGAAGTAGCATGACAAAGGTCTGAAGGTCCTGTAAAGGCCTGTCCTACCCAGAGGATAAAGGGGCACTGTAGCTCTGTAGGATTAGCACTGGACTGCTAACCCCAAGGTTGAGGGTTCAAGCACACCAGCTGCCCCTATAAAGATGTACAGCCTCAGAAACCCTACACATGCTTGTAAATCATTGCGGCACCAACTCGAAACCTCACAACAAACCAGAAGATAAAGGGAAAGAGCATGGCAGGGAAGTGGGGTTGGAATGAAATCTGGATGAGTCCATATGCCAAGCTAAGGAGTTTGAATTTGTGTTTTTTTCTGTAAGCAACAGAGAACTAACAGATAATGTCTCTCTTCCCATGTCTCCTCATATTCCTGGTCAAAGGAATTCTGAGAGGACACATTCACAACTTACCCTTGTTCTGGCTTAAGAAATAAACAAAACAAACAGAAGCAGTGTTTGTCCTGTCTAGAAAGGGAGGCAAGGTTACTTGTTCTAGTCATGGATTACTATACCAACCCCGAAACCCCAGGTATTCCAATGGCTACCATGGCCAGGCCCTGTGCCAGCTCCTTCCCTCTGCTCCCACGTCTCTCAGCCTCACCTGTTTCCCTTCCAGCTTCCTGAGAAGCTATGTTTGAAAGGCGTAATTCTGACATGATTGTGGGAGCTGGTGTTCCACTAAAGAATCAGTGGTTGAAAAAGAGAGTTCCACAGTTCCAGAACTTCCAATTTTTAAGGGGTACAGAAATACAGATTTCATATGAAATCTAATTTTGAAGCAGCCATCAAGAAATCAAGC